TTCTTAAGCAACCATTTATCTGATTTCTGTCTCTATAGATTTGTATTTTCTGGAAATTTCATATGAATGGAATCATATGAAATGTCTTTTCTATCTATCCTTTTCATTTAGCATACTGTTTTTGAGGTTCATCCATGTTGTAGTATATATCAATAGTTCATTCCTTTTTATTGCCAAATAGTTATTACATTATGTGAATGTACCATATTTTGTTTATCCATTCACCAGTTGATGGACATTTAGGTCACTTCCATTTTTGGCTATTAGGAATAATGTTATAAAGATTCTTGTACGAGTCTTTTTGTGAACATATGTTTTCATTTCTCTTGAATAGATACTTAGGAATGATGTGACTGGGTCCTATAAATCTATGTTTTAACTCTTTCAGAAACTGCCAAACTATTTTCTAAAGTGACGGCACTATTTTATATTCCAGCAGCAATGCATGAGAGTTCTAGTTTCTCCCTATTCTGGCCAATACCTGATATTGTCAGTCTTTTTGATTACAACTGTTCTGATCAATGTATAGTGTAACCTCATTTGGTGTTAATTTGCATCTTTCCAGTGATTCATGATGTTGAGCAACTTTTCAGTGTTGTTATTAGTCATTTATATGTCCTCTCTTGTTTAATGTCTGTTCATATATTTTGCTTTAGTTTAAATTTGATAATTTGTCTTTTTACTGAGTTGTAAGAAATTTTACATATTCTAGATACAGGTTATTTTGCTTTGTTGAAGAGCAAAAGTTTTTGATGAATTCATTTTATCATTTTTTTCTTGTGTGGACTTAGCTTTTGGTGTATTTAAGAAATCTTTGTTTAAGTCAGGGTCACAGAGATTTTCTCTTCTTGAAGAGGAATCAGCAAACTATCCTCTGCAGACCACATCTGGCCCACAACTTGTTATTGTAAATGTTTTATTGGAACATAGCCATCCACACCCACTCATTTACATATCACCTGTGGCTGCTTTCTCTTTCCAGTGACAGTTGAGTAGTTATGGAGACTGTCTGGCCCCCAAAGCCAAAAATATTTATTATTTACTTTATGGACCCTTTAAAAATATTGTTGCTGACCCCTGTCCCAGAAGTGTTATTATTTTAGCTCTTATAGTTATGTCTATTACCCAGTTTGAGTTAATTCTTGTGTGTGGTATGAGGTAAAGATCTAAGTGTAACACATTCTCAGGGGAAAAAGAAAAAAATAAGTAGCCAGTAGAAGCTGTATCCACATGGGACCAGATTTAGCAAAGACTTCAAAATAATTATTATATGTTAAAAAAATCAAGGAAACTATGCTTTAAAAAGTTAAAACATGGAAATGACTAAATAAGTAGCAAATATCAACAAAGCTATTAAAAAGAACTAAATGGAAATTTTAGAGTTGAAAAGTATAGCAAATGAAATTAAAAATTTACTAGATGGTCTGAAAATATTACATAAAGAAGCTGTGATATTAAAGATAAAATAAATCATCCAATCTGTAGAGAGAGAAAAAAAGATTTGAAGAAAAAAGAACAGAGCGCTGGAGACTTGTAGACAACATCAAACATACCAGGATGCATACAATAGGAGTCCCAAAAAGAGGTACAGTAAAACTAGCAGAAGAAATAATGGCTGAAAACTTTCTAAATTTCATGAAAAACATTAATCTACAGTTCCAAGAGACTCAACAACCCAAAGTAGAATAAGCACAAAGAGATCCCCATCTAGATACACTATAATAAAACTGATGAAAGCCAAAGACATGGAGAAAATCTTAAAAGCAGCAAAAGGAAAATGACTCATTACTTACAGGATAGTGTCAACAAATGGTACTGGAATAACTGGATAACCATATTAAAAAAAAAAAAAGTGAACTTAGATCTTTACCTCATACCACACACAAGAATTAACTCAAATTGGGTAATAGACATAACTATAAGAGCTAAAATAATAACACTTCTGGGACAGGGGTCTTGTATTTGTGGCTCGTAATTTTTTCTTAAAACTGGACTCTTAAAATCGTGTATCATAGCAACTTGATTCTGGTTTTATTAAAATTTTCTGCAGGTGGTAGTGGTGGTGGTGGTTGTTTCATTTGTTCTTCATTCACTTTTTTTTTTCCTTTGAGTAACTTTGTTGGCCTTGTATGCAGAATTTATCTCTCCCAAAATTGTGGCTACTGATGTATCTCCTCAGCTTTTCAAAATTTCTTATAATTTGGCTTTCTAGAGTTCACCTTTGTGTCTGCATTGCTTAGTGCTTAGCTAATGATTGGTTGGAGATTGTGATTGAACACCTTGGTCCAGTAAGGCTTTCATCCTCTGCTGGTGGACTAGGTATAGTTTGGGGAGCATATTCAAAATTTGGGCCATTTTCTAGCTTGCCTCCTTTCCTTTCTATTGGGTCTTCTCTGGTCTCCCTATGTGTGCACGTGGATTTCCAGTCAGCCTGGGATGTGTGATGTTGGTTTCTCTCAGGTCTTCACTTTCCCATGGGCATGCTCTCCTAATTACCTGGCATTTGGGGATAGCTTGGGACCTTATGGGTCTCCCCTGCACATATGTGCTTGCTACCTTCTACTCAGACGGGGTTATGTGGAGGGCAACAATCTTTTCCTCAGAATATGTGAATTTATCCCTCTGTGGCTCTCTTCTTTCCAGAATCTCCCTGTTAAATTTCTGGGTAGTCCTCAGGTTTGTGACTTGCCTCTACTGGTGCTGTAATCTCAGGCTACAAGAGCTACAGGCTTTTCTGTTTCCTGCTGGGTGTGAGTTTTCTGCCCTCAGCTCCAAATCAAAGTCAGCTCCCTTCAGCAATGAAGCTGCTGGTTTTCGCAGCCAACCTCATCATGTTGGTGGAGTGGGGCAGGGGGATGGAGGTAGCTCCTGGTAAGAAGCCAGACTCCTACTGTTCTTCCCAAGAAGTTCAGTTATTTTATATGAATTAACTATTCTTATTGTGTTTTTTGTTTGGTTAATTTCTAGAGGACAAAATTTTTTTTTTTTTTTTTTGACAGTTTTGTAATTATTTTTTGAGGGTGAGATTTTGTTACACCCTCACTGGGGAAGACCAACTTGACAACTTGAATTCTAAAATCTAGGAATATTACATTTCAAAGCCAAATATTCTTTTTTCTAATTCATACTTTGTGGAAATACAGAACAACAAGTAAATTTTTTTTTTTGAGAAATAACAAGGAGGTAGATGTTGATTCAAAGCTTAGATTTCTAAGTATGAGCATTTTACTTTGGTATAGATAGATTTGCAAGCTGAGGCTGAGGGTAAGTGAATGGTTTGGTGGCTCTGTGGAATCGTAGACGTGTATTATTTCTTTAGAGTGAGCCAACAATTGTTGACAAAGTACTTTCCTGGTAGTGTTTCTTACTTCGTAGCAATTTTAAAAACTAGATACTGTAATTATGATCATTTTACAGATAAGGAAATACATTTTTAGGTTAGTAATTTACCCGCCCCCTCAACTTTTATTTTGTGATGGAGATGGTACTTGAACCTATTTCTTCTGACTTCTTGTTTTTTATACTCTATGTAACTGCGTCCGTACCATGTTATATAATTACTTACATACTCCTTGATGATCTTTATTTATTTATTTATGTAGATAATACTTGAAGTTAGAACAGTTCATAACAATCTTCTTGAATTTTTACTAGAGCTCAAATTCTTTCCTTTCAAATGATAATCACTCTTAACTTATTGAAGAGCCCCTATTCATTCATGCAGTTGTTCAGCAAACTGGTAAAAGAGTCAGAGAAAGAGATATTCCATGGCAGCTTCCTCTGCCAGCTTCCTCTTTTTTTCTTACTCCATAGATGCAGATTCTGCCCAAGAAGCCCCTGCATTGCAGAGGGACTGGAGATCTGTATGATCTGTTTATTTCGCAATTGACAAGGGTAAGGGGGTCTTTCTGGGGGAGGCGCTTGGGTGCCCTGAATTTAGCTTTATGAAGCTGGGCTAACACTTATTTTGGGAATAAACTTAAACTTAGTATTTTTAAAAAACCCTTTTATGAATTCTGTTTGTCCTACATCAGTTAAGTGTCAGATTATCATATTAAAACGCATTTATTATAATGGTGATTTTTTTTTTTTTTTTAAAGTCCTGTTCAGAACAAGTCAGACAAACATGATTCACGCTTCTAAAATTCCAATCTGGGATCATTTAGAATATAAATAATATTGAATATATGTAAGTAAAATTTCACTGTAATGAAAATTTTTAAAAGGCTTTGGATGAACATCTATTTCTATAGCCCATCATAGTTATTCTTTATTAATCTGCTCTGTTCCTTTTCCATAAATCTGTCAATCTGTAGAGTGAAAAAGGGACTTGTGGATATGTCATAAACATTGTGGGTGGGTGTGGTGTCTTTTTCTTGCTGCTAGAAATTAATACCTACTTCCTTGAATTCTGTGTCTACCCTAGATGCCAGTGAAATTTGAGTTGTATCTTCAGACTGTCCTGTATCTCTTTATTAGTGTAGGTGTAAGGTGCAGTTGGTGTTTCTTATGGGAGCCAAGATTAAGTTTTGTAGGTCTCACTTGGCAGGTTTATAAAGTGTCAGAAGTGGTGGTATTTATAACAGGATAGGATTAAAATATTGAGGAAGAGTTTAATGCTCTTTTAAAATTGCGGAAGGATTAGGCAGATGATTGTAGCTTTGATGGGTAGTTGAGAAGACTTGACTTGGTGATGGTCTGATGGGCTTATTTTTATATTTGAGGACATTATTATACCTGCTAGTAAAATAGCTTTGTTTACCTAAAGAAGTATTGTACATTTCTGTATTTAAATAGATATTTTTAGTATTCTGTATCTCTCATTTTTAAATGATCTTCTTTAAACATTTCATTTATAGATTAAAAAATTCAACAGTATGTATCTTACCATTACCATTATTAATAAATGTTCCACTTTTTAGTGCCAACACATTGGAAAACTATTTTTATTCTTCTCCTTCTTAAATGACTTTTTTTTTTTTTTTTCTGTTTTCTTTAAGCCATAAGGATGAGTTTACCATTATTCCTGTACTGGTTGGAGCTCTGAGTGAGTCAAAAGAACAGGAATTCGGAAAACTCTTCAGTAAATATCTAGCGGATCCTAGTAATCTCTTTGTGGTTTCTTCAGATTTCTGCCATTGGGGTAAGTTCTAGATTTTAACATATTATGGTAGATAATATATACTTGTGGTTAATGGTATCTTTTCACTCTAAGCTCTGATTTTCAGTTCCTTATCACTTCCCTTGGAAAGTTTTACTTTTATCTGCGATGTTTAAAAGTGAATAAAAAAGTCTTTTAAAAAGGATCAGATTATGATAGTGGATTATGGATACATTTCCAAAGGCGACTGGTATAATTGGATTCACACTGTGAGGGCATCCTTGCTTAGCCACTTACATTAGTGGGAGTTAAGATCTTTTAACCCTATTTCCAGGTTGAGTTGTGTGGTAGAATCTCTGAAGTTAGCTTTTTCGTAGATATAACAAATACTCTTCTTTAGAAGGTAGAAGAGCACTCTGTGCTATGCCAGTCCTTTTCCACAATTCTTTTTTTGTAATTAGTGTTTTTTTTTTTCTACTTTTCCTTTGGTACTTAATTTTTGCCATCAGTTTAGAACTACCCTCCAAAGAATGTAACATGTTGGCTATTAGCATTGTGGTCTTCACTGGTAATGGTTTATAAGGGTAGGGACTCTTAAGTGATTTTTGTTATTGTGAATGAAAAGAGTAAGGAAACTTCACAGTAAATAGATCATAAAGAAAGACATTTGTGGATGCCTCTTTGAGTAAATTTTATTTTTTGAGTCTTTGAATATAATTTGCTCTCCTTTATCCATTGCTGTTCTAGAGTATTTTTGAATCCTGTTCCTTTTAGGACATCTCTCATTGGCTTGAGGATGCCAATATCTGTTCATCCTTCAGTTATTTCTTTGATTATAGAGAAAACATAAGGCACAAGACTATAAATTTTAAGATAGAGTACTAGAATGGCCAGAAAAACATCCTCAATGAGATACAGGGAGCCCTGGCTTTATTATCTTAAGCATTGATTACCAGAATTGACTCAATATTTATCTGTCCTGGTTAGGCTGGTATTTTCTCTTACCTTGCTCTGTGAATGGCATTGAGATCATTTTAAGAGAGCCATCCTCCCTTACAGATAAGTATTTTGGTTTAAGGCACTAATTTCTCATCTGGGGCTGATTGTCTTATGAGGGGCATTTGGAAATGCTTGGAGACATTTTTGGTCATTATAGTGGGGTGGGGTTGGAAGTGGGATGCTTTAGGCATCTACTTAGTGGAGTCCAGAGAAGCTGCTAAATAAACATCCTCTAGTGCCCAGGACAGTCCTCCTCATCAAAGAATTATCCTGCCCAAAATATCTAGTGCTGAGGTTGGGAAGTCCTGGTTTAGGGTATGCAGGTAGATTTGTTACCTTGCCGAACTCCCTAAGAGGTTCTCAGGGTTCTTTAATAATCAATTCTATTGGCTAGTTGGTTTGCTACCTTTGGCAGAAGTTATTTTTTATGGATTATAGGTATATTACTTAGATGGGAGGACTGGGTAGATGCTTGGAAATTCTGATGTTTAGTCATAGTTGATCTTAGAAACTAAGGAGTATCATTGTTGAAAATAGGGTATTTTTCTTAGTATTGTGAATTTGAGTTGGTAATAAAGCATGTCCGTATGTTTTAGAAATTAAAAATTCTTGAAGCATGTGTCCCCTCCCTCTTCACTTTTAAAGCTCTTATGAATCACTTTAAATTACTTTTATGATTTAAATAATTAGTTCCCCTGATATTGTTCTTTAGAATCTGGGTTCTCCCTCAAGGTTGGTACCATGTGCAATCACAGCATAAATCCACACAAAAATCAGTAGATGCTTTAAAATTGCTCTTTTCTGTTGAATCATTCTTTTTACCTCATTAATGAATTCTAAAGCAAACAAGCCCTAGTCCAAGTACTGTATTTAAGTACAATATTGAGAGAGAAAGATGAATTTTGTTTTATAGTCTACCTAGATTCTTGGAAAGTTATTTAGGCCATTTGATCTTCTGTGTTGTAGAAAATTTTGGCATTTAAATTGTAAGCTAGGATTTCCTGGTGATAATAACAAATAAGAACTCAAAATTTCCAAAGGTTGGTAGATGTTAGTTATGAGAATTATCCAGAGACTAAAACATATTTATATTTACATTTGGTGATTAAGTAATAGAACTTTTCCAAGTGTTTATTTTTTTAGTATCACTATCACTAACAATACTCATTAAGTGCGTGCTTACTTTGTACTTATGGAAAGCACTGTGCTAATTCTTATTAGGAAATTCGATGAAGATCTGGGGATAAGTGGAAGGTGTTGCATGGAATACTATTCCAAGATTGGTAGTTTCTCTTCTACAGTAGTAATAATAACCATCATTCTTGTAAAGTAAGATTTGTTTTCTATTTTATATGCCTAATTGAAGTAATATGAATAATTGGCTAGTTATGGTTAAAATGTCTTAGAAATTTTCATATTTCTCAAATTTCATGCTCTGGTGACATTGGTCATCTTTTCTAAATTAATGAATGTTATACTTCCATTTCAAAAATCTAGTTTTTTCTTGTGAGGATATTTCTTAATGGTTTCCCCTTCTTCTTCTTCTTCTCCTTCTTCTTCTTCTGCTTCTTCTTCTTCTTCTTCTTTGTAAGGATACTATATAGATTGATTTTACCATATCAAAGTAATGATAACACTGAATTAGAAATCATTTCACAAGAAGAATTCAGCTCCTCACATACTCAGAGATATTAAAAGTTTCATTGAGTTAAGCCGTCAACACCCTGTACATTTCTAAATAGCTGATTTTTGAAGAAAAATCACTTAATTGATTATGGTACAGTTGACAAATTACTCAGATGCCTACAGTGGAATTTTGTTTTGTTCAATAATATTAGACTACTAGCAGTGACAACTTTTTTCATTTCTAGTCATTATTTCTATTATGTCCAGCTTCTGTTAAAAATAAGGCAAGAGATTTGGTGGTAGAGACAGTGATTGGAAGGGTTTTGCCTGTTTGATTTTAGTTGTTAGCCAATATCCATTACAAGAATGACTTTTTTTTAAGTGTACTTTCCTTTAAAGATTTTCGTCTTTCAGATCCCATTTAAATTTTATAAGGACTTGAAAAAGACATCAGAGAGAGAAAAAGTAGGAAGATTAAAATATTCTCAAGTTTTCTTTTTGGGTGGGAAAGCTAAGGGAGAGTGGGAACCTAGATTCTATTATGCCCCTTCTTTTTGTCCCTTCATTTGAATGCCCCACCCCGCCAGAAAAGAAAAAAACCTTCACCATTTCAATTCCTGTCTTTTATTTTATCGTTAGTCTAATCCACATGAAAATTCATTAGTCACCCCAATAGGGTGATGTTTCCTAGTTAACACTTGATGATCTACCTCATTTCACCCTTCCTGCTACTACCAAGGATTGTGGTCTAAGTGAAGGACATTTGCTGCTAGTATTTGATTTTTACTATGGTTAGGTAATGTTATCTCCATACTTTTTCTGATCAAGTTTCTTGTCCTATAAGATGTCTCCATATAAGAGAATTTTGACTGGGCCTATTTTAGTTTTTCTAATTGGTGGAATTTTCGTTTGTTTTTCTAACTTTCGTTTTTGCTCTTCTCCATATATATAATATATACTGTTAATATTTATACTTTCCTGATCTCCCTGAAATTTATATTTTCACATTTAGAATTATTGACAGCTTTCATTAACATAATTTCTAATTAACTTCTAAGAAGTTTCTAAATGAAACTGCATCTAACAGAAATTGATTTTTTTAAAGTCGATTCATTCTACTTAATTTTCCTTTTATGGCAGTTTTTTTTTTTTTTTTTTTAAGATTTTATTTGTTTATCAGAGAGAGAGAGAGACAGAGGCAGGCAGAGGGAGAAGCAGGCTCCTTGCTCAGCAAGGAGCCCGATGTGGGACTCGATCCCAGGACCCTGGGATCATGACCTGAGCCGAAGGCAGACGCTTAACCGACTGAGCCACCCAGGCGTCCCTTTTATGGCAGTTTTAAGTGCAAATTAACTTCAGTAAATTTACTTGGTAAATGTTAATGATAAATTATTTTATTAAAATATGAATAAAATTTACTACACTCACTTCAATTTTGGATTTTTACATATAAACTTATATTTGTCTAGGTTTACATAATTTCTTTTTTATAAGTATGTGTCACCTATAAAAAGTGGCATTCCCCAGAGTATTTATGAATTTATATCTTTATTCAGATTTCTAGTTTAATATATATATTAACAAGTGATTATTTATGCCTGTTCTTTTTTCCTTTCTGTTGTTAGTCTCTTAAGTACTGAAGGTATTACTATTTTCTAAATAATTTCAATTGGTTTAAGTATAAGTTAGCTAATTCCTGAAATACATCTTATCCAAGCTTTCGTATTTGTCTTCTCAAATTTTATACATACTAATTCCAGATATTTAAATTTTTTATCTTTTGAGGGAAGGTTAATACTTTTTTTACATTATAACTAAGACTTTAGAAAGAAAGGACTGTAGTTTTTCACGATTTCAATTATGAATGTCCCCAGTTTAGGTCCTTAGTATAAAATGACCTAATAATCTATCTCATAGGTTGTCGTGAGGGTTAACTCAATGAAAATGCTTTAACAGATAAAGTGATTAAGTGATTGTGTAACAGTACAGTTTTTACTGGACATATGTCTGAAAGTCTGTTTTGTTCACTAATCTTTTTGGGGGCTTTAAAATCAAATTTCCAAGCTCATTGTTTTATTTCTGCAATCCAGTGTTTAGCTTAATGTTGAGGTATTTGATATTTTTTTACTTTTTGTTTTGAGGTACTTAAAAAGTAGTGTTGGTTCTTGTACCATTCATTGTTATGTTTGTCCTCATTAGTTGATCGTTGTGTGTTAAACAGACATCCCTGGAGCTTACTCTCCACACTCTGTGAATCCACTCATTAATCACCAGTCACCTTTGGAGATGGGAAAATTACTTACCTGTATTTCTTTTTCTCAGAAAGCGTGCTCTGGAATGGATTCACAAATGAGCTACCCTCCTTCCCTCAAAGAGTAAGGTTTCTGCTTTACAGGATTTTTTTTCTTGGGTTATTTTTCCTCTCATCTTTTGAATTTGAAAAGAACTGAGGGAAGGCACCTGAAGAAACTACTGACATACTCACTAGGGGAGCTCCAAAGCTTGTGCTGCCCCTAGGGGCAGTGTCAATGGCTCTTAAAGCTAGAAAGCTCATACTTGGAGTTGAAACAGGGGCTCAAAGAATCCATTTTCCCAGTGTACCTTCTGAAAGGATAAGTTTCAGGTAAGTAATTTTCTCTTACTATGTGATATGCTTTATTCATACTTATAAAAGTATACAAGTCCAGTTCTCCAGGTACATAGGCAACTGTGTTTGCTCAGTTTAGATGCATAAGCTTTACTGAATGTTAGAAGTATTATAAAACAAAATGTCTGCTCATGAGTTACACGAAATCATAATATATTTTAAATCAACAATAAATGTTTGATTAAAGGTGCACTTATGAACAGTGTATTGTGCTAGTGTTGTCATTTCGTTTATTTCTCATTAAATAAAATCTTGATACGCTTCTTTTTAATAATTAGATAGAAAAGATTTTTTGCATTCAAATTCCAAAAGGTGTTTAACTAAAGTTGTATGTGTGTGTGCGTGTGCGTGTGCACACACCTTCCCCCCCCCCCACATATAGGCTAGGATGATGGAAACTATTTACTTTGAATTAGATGCTTTTTGTATGTATATTGACCAGAATGAATTACTCAAGTAATTTTTAAATGCTTGTACAATTTTTAAAAATTATTCTAAGTTTGAGCTGTTTAAGTAAGCTACATTTTCAGTGTAGTAGCTTTATATAGTGTGGATTTAGCTACTTAATTGATATATTACTTAGAGCCCATAAAATATTTCTACTCGATTCTTCAGCTACAAAATGCAAATACCTAAGGAGTAGCAAGAGGTAGATAGCAAATGTTAAACATTTACTCATTGATTTCCTGTGCATTTTGTCATTCTTTTTAAATCACATGTTGATTTAGTATTCAAAATATCTTATGTATTTTTCTCTTACTTCAGAAGTAGTTTTTAAGTGAAAGTTACAGTGAAAATGGTCCATGTGAACAAGGCAGTATTTCTAAATATAGTTAGACTTTTTACTTGTGATGAAGGCAGGTTTGACCAACTTCAGTCATTTGGAACAGCAGTTCTGAACTTGGAAATAAGCAGAAAAGACTTTTGAGTAGCAAATGGTTATCACAAAGTACATGCATTTTTCTCTGTACTTGAAGAGTAGCAGTTTTCAGATTAGATAGGTATGTCCCAGTCACAGGGATTATTGACAGCTAAAACTACAGCTGTCTCCTGAAACAAAGAAAAGAGAATGCATTAGGATAAACCTGAAGTAGTTCAGATTCAAAGAATATTCATCTTGATTGCTTCCAAGGATATTACTCTTACTACAGTTGACAGTGAGTCAGAAGTTTCTTGTCTTAAGATTATTCATTTAATTGTTCATTCATTTCACAAAAGATTTGGGGCCACTCTATCAAAAGACCTTTGAAATAGAAGTAGAAATTTAGTACCAATGAATTGAATCAAGAAGTTATTGCAACAGACTTTAGATTTGACTTTGAGCCTTCCAATAGCCATCTGGCAAATAGGAAAAATAGGGTCAATTTATATAGTTCTCATTATTAGGTAGGAGTAAATGTGTACATTCTGTAAAGAAGAGCAAAACTATACCTAACTCTAACTTTTGAAAGAAATGTCTGATGAGGTATTTAATATAAGGGCATCATTGAGTGATGAATTGTCACTGTTTAAGAATTTTTTTTAGTGCAAGGACTGTAATGGATCTCATAGTTATGGTGACATGTAGTATTCCTCAATGTTTACAAAAATGGTTGTTATATTCAGAAAGCAGATAATTGTCTCAGAACCTTATTGCTTGATTCTAGGATGTCATGAATTATAAGACGCAATATTGATTTAATAGAAGCTCTTGAGGGAAAGTAAGAACTGTTACATGAGTAATCGTACATATTAATATATGTGTAAAGTTAAAATGTGAAAGTTAAGGAAATACAGTATATTCTAGAAAGATGACCGTCAAAGATGATCAACATCAACAAGTAAAGGAAGTGTTGAGAACTGTGATGTGTCTTTTTTTCCAAAAAAGAGCACCAAAAGAGTTTTACTATTGCTCGTCATTTATAAGATGATGTTTTTTAGTAAGATAAACAGAGAACTTAAAAATCATAATTATCCAGCCAAAGAAACCCATTTTCTCAGGTGTGAGGATAATAATTGTATATGTGAACTTTGCTCTAAAAATGAAGCACAAGACACAGAGTGTGCCTATATGACTGGTGTACTCACATACCGTTAAAATGCATTTTGGTGAATCTTTAAAAATAACTAAATATAAAAGTAATGAGTTCTAAGAAATATAGGCATCACAGAAATACAAATGTAGATGTATCTGAAATAAAACATAGTGGAATAACATACCACAATTATTTATGAATATGTTTAACTTTTGGTTTTTATATGACTGTGTAGGGAGCCAAATTTATTACCTGAGCCTTTTGTTTTCTGTCTTCTTTTCAAGCTTCTTCCAGTTTACCCTCTGTGTTTCTTGGAGAAGAGCTACACATTGAATGTTCTGTGCTTGCACTCTTACTGAGATATTATTGTCAGAGTAGGACTATTATATTTATTCTTTTGTGCCTCCTGTTCTAAGGCACTTGTATTGATCTTTTTCAAGTAGAGAGTTTTGCAAAAATGAGATAAATATTTTTATTGAGGTCATAAAAATCACATAAGCCACATGTATCTCTGACCTGCACTTTTTTTTTCTGTAATAGAGATCAAATCTTTGCATTTATATAGCAAAGGCTAAGCTTTCATTGATCTGTTACATTGAGATAGTTTCCTTAAACCAGATTTCCTTGAATCATATTCTTTGGGTTTACCTTCCATTACAGACTGATATAATATGTTTAACAATGCTTCTAACTTTTAAGCTGTTTTGTTTCCTTAGTCTTTTGTATTGCTTGTGACTCTAAGGTTCTACAGTTTGAAGTAGTTTTTAACATCATAAAACACTGGTGATATATCATTTCTTTATTACTTCCCAAATATGCCTTTTATTTTTATGTACAAGGGCTCTTGGGAATGATTCTCTCAGAGGCGTAAGCTGTGCTTTGCCTTCCATGAGAACTGAAATTATTTGGTAAGCGCTTGCTTTCTTTTTAGCTTCTAATTTTTCCCTATTTTATTTTGTACATGATATTTGTTTCAAGGTCAAAGGTTCCGTTACAGTTACTATGATGAATCCCAGGGGGAGATTTATAGATCCATTGAACATCTAGATAAAATGGTAAGTCTTACAGGTGTGGGGTTTTAATGCTCTAAGGTGTTTTCTTTAATTTCAGATTAGTGATTCAAGACTTAATATGTTGAAATATACAGTGGACTAATAATTCTTTCCCTATCTTTATTTAACTGTGCAAAATATAGTTTACAATCATATGAATATTGATTATAAAAATAATCCCTTTTCTATTAGTTGAAATTTCCTTTATCTTAATTTTATTTGATTAATGAGACTAAGAATAATATACAGATTTTAGATGCTATTTGGGGGAGTGTCTAAGGTTTAGGGATGACAGGATACTAATGCCATAACTTACTTTTAAGCAAAAACAACCGTAGCAAATTCTTAGTTTATTTTATTATTTAATTATAATTTTTTGGCCATTTGGATTTTCTTAAATGGTGTTTCATTTTGTTGTTTAAATAGAGAATTTAAAAATATGATTGTATTCTTATCTGGCCCAGTACAATAGACAATGATCCTGCTGTCATTTTCCTTAAAGTAGTATGGTAGTCATAGTACTTGTTTTCATAGTTAAAAAGTCATGCAAATCATTTTGTTGTTTTTTTTTAACTTATAAATAGAATATTAAATATAGCGGATATATCACTTATTGGCTTTGACCTGTGACAGATCATTTCAGTTCTCTAGTCCTCAATTTGTCATCTCTAAGATAAGAGACTTGGAATAGGTGGTCTCTAAATTGTCTTTAAACTCTGTCAGACTTAAAGTCTGTGATATGTTTGAAATCAACTTTACCACTGTTTGAAAAGCTTTATGCATATGTTTTAGTATAAAAATATTTAGTCTAAAGTAGGTAAAACGTTTTAGTAAGGAATCTGGATCTAAAACTATAGGTAGGTTATACCTTGTATATTTTATTAAAAGCCAAATGGAATGAATGCAAATTTAGTTACCTAGGAGATTTTATTATATTTAGATTTTATCATATTCAAATTTATCTTATTACTTAGATCAATTTGTGGCCTAATACTTTTACCTTTAGAATTTCGTTTGGACTTAATCTACTGACTTTTCTTTTGGCTTTATGATGTCATGTCAGTCATTTAATTCTTTTCTGGCTTCTAGTTCTGATCTTATTTTTCTGAGGCTTAGTTCTCAGTTGCCTCAGAAAACTTTTCTGGTTATGTCATCATTTATTTTCTTCATGTAGCAAGTGGTTAATGGGTGTCTCCTGTATGTCTGGTACTGGGTGAAATACTGAAGATGTTAAGAAGATAAAACATTGTCTCTCACTTAATAGAACTTACAGTGCAGTCATTGAACAGACTTAGAAAGAAGCTATTCCAATACAGAGATGTAAGAGATATTTAGGACATATGCTCTCCTTGTTCTGTGAGAATGATCTAGATGTGCCTACCTTAGGGCTTTGGCCCTTTTTATACTTGACTGTCTGACTTTGTGGCTTTGCTCAGCTTTACCTTCCCAAGGCACACCGACTATCCTGTTTAATTTTGCATCATACACTCCACCTTCTCAGCATTCCCAACCTACCTTACCCTGCTGCAGTTTTTCTTTCAACAAACTAAATATTCTACTTATTATAGTTTTGTTAGTCAGGATATTTATTTTGTTCTCCGATGTATCCAAAGTGCTTAGAATAGTGATTAGAACATTAGTAGGTGCTCAGTGAATATTGTTCAAGTGAATAAAATAATATAATCTTCCTATATACATAATTAAATTAAGTGAATACCCTAACTGTAATATGAGAAAGAAATAAAGGGAAAGTAATTTATGATAAACTAATATATTTTTAATAATGTAAGTGCCCAAATACCAACTATATTAGAAGACACTGTGAAGTAGATGCTTATTACACATTGTATCATTACTATAATAGGTATCATTCCAAACCTAAACAGTTATATTTGTGACTCATATTACTAAGGTGCTTTGCTGGGTGACTTTGATTTTCCAAAATGGTGAGCAATTTTTAGTAAAGTTGTAAACTAAACAAAGTACAGCCTTCCCTTACTTTATATGAATATGGCAATTCCTTGGAAATCTGCTGTATATTAAAACCATGCAAAACTTCTTAGTATTTATATATAAAATAGAGTTAAGGGTCTAGATAATTATAAGCAGATTTTTCACCTATATGGACATGTCAAGAGTGTTATGGGATGAGAACAATTATTTGTGTGTGGGACTATCTTGTATTATAGGACAATCAGCGTCTCTGGGCACCACCCATTAGCATCTTCTAATTATTGGGACAACCCAAAAATGTGCCCACAATTTTCCATTATGCCCCTATGGTAAACAGTTGTTCCATGATCTTACCCTACTTAAGTTTTCTTCTCAGTTTTAATTACTCTGTGACTTATTATTTGTTGATTCGTTTGGTGATAAGCTCCCCTGTGGGATTGTAAGCTTCATGAAATCAGGATCTTTGTCCATTTTGTATCATCCTTTCACCGGGTACTCAATATATATAGTTGTTGAGTGAATCAGTGGTTGAATGGGTGGGGGTAGTGGTGAGAAATGAAGCCAGAGAATCTAGAACAGGCTGTTTATTTTATTTATTTTAAAGATTTTATTTTTTTTTATTTGTCAGAGAGAGTGTGTGTGTGTGTGTGTGTGTGTGTGTGTGCGCGCGCATGTACAAGCAGGGGGGAGTGGCAGGCAGAGGGAGAAGCAGACTCCCTGCTGAGCAGGGAGCCCGACATGGGACTTGATCCCAGGACCCTGAGATTGTGACCTGAACCCAAGGCAGACGCTTAACTGACTGAACCACCAAGGCACCCCTGGAATATGCTGTTTAAAGGATATGAAATAGGAAAGTGATAAAATCAGATTGTATTTGAATAGATCATATAGCTGCAGTGTAGCAGGTGGGTTGGAGGAAGGTCAGAGGAGAAATGAGTAGACCAGTTTGGTAATCCAGGTGACAAATGGTAATTTAGACAGTGGATGGGGTGGTGATGGTGGAAGAGGGACAGAGTGTATATATTCAGTATGTAAGAGACAAACTGATGATAGGACTTGGAGATTGATTGAACTTGCCAGGGAAGGAAGTATCAAGAATAACTCCTAAATGTCTGGCTCATGCTGCTGGTTGGGTGTTGGTACTGTTCACTTAGGTTTAAAGGACAAGAAGATAGGACTGATGTTTTAGGAGGTAGGGAAATCATAAATCATATTAGGGATATGTTATATTTGCTGTTGCCTTTAAGACATCCACTGTCAAGTTGGCATTTGGATTTTCATTTTGCCAATTATTATTATTATTACTGTTGTTTTTAAAGATTTTATTTATTTGACAGAGAGACAGCAAGAGAGGGAACACAAGAAGGGGGAGTGGGAGAGAGAGAAGCAGGCTTCCTGCCAAGCAGGGATCCCCATGCGGGGCTTGATCCCAGGACCTGAGCCGAAGGCAGACGTTTAACGACTGAGGCACCCAGGCGCCCCATTTTGCCAGTTACTTTTGAGTGCACTTACAGTCCTGGGCACCGTTGGAGTTATGGCAGTAAACAAACACACTTTCACACAACTTTTATTCTAACGGGAGGAGATACATTTTTAAAAAAAAGCAGTAAGGATATATATATATATATGTTAGTTTCCAAAAGTCATGTGTGCTGTACAGAAAATATTGAAAGGTTTTTTTTTTTTTAAGATTTTATTTATTTATTTGAGAGAGAGAGAATGAGAGATAGAGAGCACGAGAGGGAAGAGGGTCAGAGGGAGAGGCAGACTCCCTGCTGAGCAGGGAGCCCGATGTGGGACTTGATCCCGGGACTCCAGGATCATGACCTGAGCCGAAGGCAGTCGCTTAACCAACTGAGCCATCCAGGCGCCCCTGAAAGGGTTTTGAAATAGTGAATGATTCAAGTGATTGGTGGTTAACTGATTGGAGAAAGACTCCCCTGAGGAGAAACAAACCGAGGTAGAGATGATAAGAAGGAGCAGACCAAGTAAAGATCAGAGGAAAGAATATTGTGGACTGAAGGAATTGCCTGTGCAAAGTCCTTAAGATGGGAAAGAGGCTGGGTGTGAAGAGAAGGAAAAAAAAGGCCAGTGTTGTAGGAATTCAGTACATAAGGGTAAGAGTGGTACAAGCTGTGGCAAGAGGGATAGCCAGGGATCGGATCATGTGGGGCTTTATATTCCAGGGTAAGAAATGTAGGTGAGTACACGGAAATGATGCAGTTACATTATTTTATTTTATTTTTTTAAAGATTTTATTTATTAGAGAGAGAGACCAAGAGAGAGAGCACGAGAGGGGGCAGGGACAGAGGGAGAGGGAGAAGCGGACTCCTCTGCTGAGCTGGAAGCCTGATGTGGGGCTTGATCTGAGGACCCTGGGATCGTGACCCGAGCTTAACCAACTGAGCCACCCAGGAGCCCCTAGTTACATTACTTTAAAGGTCACTCTGGTGGTTGTGTAGAAAATGGATTCTGCACCAGGTTCAGGAGCAGTAGCAGTGGGCATGGGCAGTAGCTTAGTGGGGAGAGGATAGTAACTTCGACTGGGGTGGCATTAGTGGATATGGAAAGAAGTTGGTAGATTTGAGATCACTTTCAGAAGTATTTTCAGAAGGGCTTTGCTATGGAATTATACTAGTTGGAAGCCTGAAGAAGAGGCCTGCAGTAAGTCTGAGAGGTCTGGAGTTCAGTAAGTAACATGTAGATGGTAATTAGAGCCAGGGCAGAGAGGAGATTGTCTACTCTAGTAATCCTTAACCTTGTCTTTACAATTTCAATCACCCGTGGGGCTTTTTCAAAATAGACTTGCCCATAGTGCCCCTGGAGATCACCTTCTGGTAGTATGCAAAGAGTCCCAACATCTTGTTACTCCTAAATTTGCTTTGTAGGTGAATTTGAACTGTCCTGCTATGGCCCCTAATCTTTTGAGTAGAACAAATTTCCTATTTATCTACTCTTGTTTTCTGTTCAGCTCTTTAAATCATTTGTCAGCTTTAATTAGGCAGCATTTAATTTTGCACACATAAAAATTTGTAAATCCGTGAATTGAT